ACCTATTGATAATTTTGGAGTGCTAACAGAGTCTGATTATGAAAAAAATTCAGGACTGAAACACAGAAGTATTTGCTGACAATGAGTAATACTGACAAAACCTAAGAGAAAACAGATAGAAAAATGTTGAAGGACAAGGCATAATAATGTCCTACAAATAAAGTAGCTTATTTTAAAAATAAGAATGGCTGGAGAGTTGGAAAGAAGTACTGTGGTCATTTGTTATGACTGTAAAATTAGCTATATACCTTCATAAAGCACAAGCATGTACATATGGAAGTTAATAACTGAGAAAACGGAGATATGCTTAAAAGCACTATTTAACGTACTAGGTCATTTCAACAGTAACAGAATTAAGACTACTGGTGACGCTAGAAGCTGAAATAACTAAATTATGAACAGATTATAATTTATTTGAGCATCATATAGCATCCCACTTGAATATTTTCCAGTCATTATTCAAATTATTTCTATATATTTAAATATACATCCATAGATCTGAGCATATATTTATGTCTGTATGCAAGAGATTGTTCATGGAAATGTGTGTGTGTGTGTTTGTGTGTGTGCCTGCCTCACACAATCCTATCATTCTTTCCTTCTGTCTTTCCTTCTGTCTTTCCTTCCTTCCTTCCTTCCTTCCTTCCTTCCTTCCTTCCTTCCTTCCTTCCTTCTCCTCCTCCCTCTTTCTCCTTCTCCCCTTCCTTCCCTTCCATCCATTCATCATTTCCTCCCTTCTTCCCTCTCTCCCTTTTTCCTTCCTTCCTACCTTCCATCCTTCCCTTTAATCTTTCCTTCTTTCTCTCTTTCCTCCCTCCCCTCCCTCCCTCTTTCTCCCTTCCTGTATTCCTTTCCACCCTTTCCTCCTTCTTTCCTTTTTGTCTTTCCTTCCTTCTCTCTTTCCTCCCTCCCTCCCTCTATTCCCTTCCTTCCTTTCTTCTATCCATCCTTCTCTTACACCCTTCCTTCCTTCCTTCTCTTTTTTTTTCTTCTTCCTTTCCTCCCGGGGAGATGTTTAGCTAGGAGAAGAAAAGGTAGAAAGGGGACATGAGAACCATGTTTCAAGATTTAAAAGGGTGCCCCATTGAGGAGGAGGGAAAACACTGATTTTCTGCTGCTCTTGAGACCAGCATCCAAGGGAGCAATGGTTTCAAATGGTACGGAAAGAGATTCGACTGCAAAGATTAGGAAGAACTTCCTGGAGAGTGGCATGGGATACCTCAGAGTGTTGTGGAGTCTCCTTCTCTGGAGGCTTTTCCGCAGAGGCTTATTGGGAGTGTTTTGATTGTGCCTTCCTGCATGGCAGGGGGTTGGACTGGGTGGCCCTTGGAGGTCTCTTCCAACTGTAAGATTCTAGGATTCTATAGCAAGAGTAGGCAATATGGTGTCTAATGGATGCACTTTTTCTCACCACCTCATCCTGACCAAGACCAACTCTTTTGAGATTCAAATGTTTCCCATCTTTCCTTCACTTTCTGCCTCCAAAAAAGAAAAGGAAGGGGAGGAAAGGGCAGGGAAGAGACTTGGGGAGAACTCCCTCCCTTCCAACCCGCCCACCCTGCTCCAGCTCACCATGTGGCCCTCAAGTTAGAAAAATTGCCCATGCCTGTTCTACATTTTTCCAAGCTACTCAGATTCAACGTACACTAGCTCCCACTTTTTCTGTACAAAATGAACAAGAACAAGAATAAATATGATTATAGAGAAAGAGAGGGACAGAGAGTACTACCTATATATCCCAATATCACAGATCTTCTACAGTACTTAACCATGAAAACATATTCACAACATGCAAAAACCTTTATGCAAAATAACTGTTCTGAATGTCCAGTAGCAGGCCCATAGCCAGGATTTCGTTTCGGGGGGGGGGGGGGGGGGAATTTTTTTTCAAGGGGGGGGTCGGGGGGGTTTTGGGGAGGCTGAGTCTGAGTGAAAGATGGTCTACCCTAGCAAACCTTTTGTATAATTACCCCAATACCCCCCTGCATATGGGATATATTGAGCATGGTGATCAGATCATGATATCAATGAACATAACAGTTCAAATAATGTACCAGTAAGGCCTTTTCGCAGACCACCATGAGAATTGGGGGGGGGGGATGAAGCCCCCCAAGCCTCCCCACTGGCTACATGGCTGTCCAGTAGTAATTTATCAAAATTGGTTAGCACATTTATTAATTTAAATTGAAGTTTCAATTCAAAATGTTAATTCCCATTAGAATTAAATGCAATTTTTCAAATCTTTTATTTGCAGAAATCTGTAATTTAGTGTAATTGGCAACCAGTCATTCCACAAACCTTGTATATAAAGTAAGTGGGTCCCAGATAGCTTTCTAGACTTGTTGCTCAATCAGGAAAGAACTAGAGTCAAGCAAAAGAAAGCTGAGTTTCTATGTTGTGAAATGAAATGTATCCGTGAATTATCCCAATGTGAGCATAGCCACCAAACTTGAGAATATCATCAATAACCTCATTTCAGACAAATAATAAAAAACCCCACACGAGAACCCTAAATTTAGTAACATTTGTAGAAGCAAATGGGTTTTTGCTTGATGTGCGTCACAATGATTATATTCCTGCATTTTGCTTTTCCATTTCAGGCCCTTGTACAGATGTTTATTCTTTCTCTCCTATTTGGTTATTATGGTTCATTATGCTGACGGAATAAGCTGATTGAAACATTCATGGAGATGAGTACAGCAATAAAATGTGTAAAAAAAAAGGCAAACTGAAAAGGGGTGGAGGGGAGGAAAAGACAGACAAGAACACGAGGCAAAGGATTTTATAACCTTCTGAGTATTGACTGCCGCCTCAGAAATGGTGCAAAGAAACTGAGAAGAGAATGGAGGATGGAAGGAAGCTAAATGGAAGACAACCATAAATCATACACCAAATATAGGGCAGAAACAAATAAATATAGTGGTGCCATCTTTTGATTCAAACGTCTGGCAAGAGCTGGTCTGTTGTCAGGTTCCCAGACACAAAATAAATGCTGTGTTCAGTAAGCATGAAGCTCTGCAAAGAACGGGGGAAGCTCAAAGGCTCTTGGCGCTCCTCAAGTCTCATTAGGTCTGCATATTAATGACTTGCAGTAATATAAAGCAGCCCTTGAATGGACTTCCCGCTCCTTTCACCACCACCCCCACCCCCCACCAAACACCCTGAAACGTGCCTAGGCTTCCTACAGCAAAGAAAACAACATCTTCAGGTTGCTTCCACATTGTCTCTAAGTGATCCTGGGCATGTTCAAGACATGTTTTAGAAGATGCTTTAAAGGAGGAAGAATGGAAATGAGGGGGAGGAAAAGCATTCACCTTTGAGACCCCATTTAGAAGGCACTTTTACAGGAACAGTAAGTCTCTGGAATAGGCATACGGTGGAGAAGAAGAGAGGCTTTTACAGCTAATACTGCATTTCAAAATTGGTTAACAACTGTCATGGAAACCTGTTTACCTGCAGGGTGCACTACAGTCATATAAATACAAAAAAGGCATCAACGGCCTTCTCAAATAGGTGTAGCAGAAATGGTTCCAGCCCAGCTTACCCGTCTGAATGTATGAACCACTTCGGAGATTAAGATCATCTGGGTAGTCCCTGCTCTCGGTCCTGCCTGCTTCGCAAGTGTGACTGGCAGGGACGAGAGACAGGGCCTTCTCAGTAGTGGCCCCTTGGCTGTGGAACTCCCTCCCTAGTGACTTTAAATCAGCCCCCTCCCTTCTAGTCTTCAGAAGGAAAGTAAAAACCTGAATCTGGGATCAAGGTTTTGGAGAATAGTGCAGTGCAATAATAGACCTGGAATATGAACAATGACAACAGAATGTTACAAACATTTCTTTTTTATTTTCTCCTCCAGTTTTATCATTTTATGTTGTACATGTGACCCGCTCATTGTGATGGATTTCTCATTGCATTATTTTGTTTTGTTTTACTTTGCTTTGTTTTATTGTATTCCTAAGTTGTTTTGGTTTTATTATGTATTTTGCTGTAATGTATTTCCGGGCTCGGCCTCATGTAAGCTGCCCCGAGTCCCCTTTGGGGAGATGTTGGTGGGGTATAAATAAATTATTATTATAGTTATTATTGTTATTATTGGACTACGATTTCTAGATGGCGTGATTTTAATATTGAATGTAATGCTTTAAATGTTTAACATGTAATAATTGTAAATGGAATTTGTTTTTAATCTTAAAGTTTTTTATGTGTTGAATAATTGCCATATGTAAGCCACCTTGAGTCCCCTTTGGAGTAGAGAAAGGCAGGGTATAAATAGGGTAGATAAATAATTAAATATATAAATAAATTATTTTCCGTTTTTAGAAAACGAAGGTCAAATAATCAAATATATTTCTTGATTAAACATAAACATCCTCTCCATTATATGATAAACAATTCCTTTCATAATATAAAAATGCTGAGTCTCCAACTAGGAAGTAGAATCCCTGAGAAACAAGGCTATACAAGACTGTCTGTGATCTCCACCAAAAAAAAACCCACTGGAAAAGATCTGCCCTGCAGGAAGCTTTCACCATCCAGCTGCCACTCAATTCTGACTCTCCCTTCTTCCTCCCCTAGTGGCACACCTCTTAAGCATCACTTTTCTCAGCCAGCTCTCCAGCAGTTGCAAAATGCTCTCAACTCTTCTCAACAGTTTTTTGCAGTGGGACCTTTAGCCAGACATCCAAACTTGACAGTGCCTTTGTACCACAAACATGCAAGGAGAAGCAATCCTGCAGGCTTCACACAGTAAAATTCTAGCTTTCAAAAACAAGCCACATTTAAAAGAAATCAAAAATAACTGAATAAATAAAGAGAAAAAAAACACACTCTGTAAACTAGGCAGTCGATCACCCTGAGCCCATTCAGTCTTATATGCATGTAAGAGGATAAACACTCAGTATCTCATTACTTCTGGGCTATTATTTATTTATCTATCTGTAATTGCCCTTGCTGCCTCTCTTATTAAAAGATCAAATATTTAGATTTCCCCTTATCAGACTTACCAGAGGATTGACCTCGATTAGTGGCGTCATGATCGCTGTCTCCTTGCTCGCTGTCTCCATGACCACTGTCCTTAGAGCTTACTATGTCTGCTTCCTGGAATGCAGAACTAGAAACGTTTAAAAAAAAGAAAAAGAAAAAGAAGGGGGGGGTTAATATTTGAACACTCAGGAATAGAGATACTCATAAAACATTCTTCTGCCATCACATGGCTACACACGGTGCTGCACGCAGCTAGACCTGCTCACAACACTGTTTCTGTTCAGCTCGTTTCCATCACAAGCAGGACTTGCACTTTTTAACATTAATAAGTCAACCAGAACAGACACCAGCCCTTATTACACTCCCCTGTGTTACGCACAATTGTTCTAAACAGCCAGACTGAATTTGCTTAACCTGGGAAGCTGGATTTTCAGAGAAAAGTCAATATTCTCTGCTTATTCTCGCAGAGGGGCTCATGAGTATGTGAGGCACGTTTCAGACCAGCACAAAATGAGATTCCACTCTCTTTTCAGGTAATCTCAGAGAGCTTCACCAAAAGCCATAATTCAAAGATGTTCATTCAGCGCCGATTTATTTTTGCTTAATGGTACTGTCTGAACAAATTCATTTTCATACCCCTCCGCTATTATTCAACTTCTGCGGTAAACACATTTCCATATTCTCCTTTCATGCTTGCTGAAATATATCTTGTTTTGTTCAAAATTAGGGTCATCACTTAGAAACAGAGGAGGTCCTACCTGTTTACTCGCCGTGGTCTATCAACTAGATAACTGAGCTCAGCACGCTGGTGTTTAGTCTAGAAAAATGATGCAGAAAAGAAAAAAAATTAACTCCCAGTGATTTGTTTTGAAGGCAGCTAGTTTGTGTATCTGCAGTTGTTGTAAATGGATGTAAGAGCATCTATAGTTAAGGCATCAAACATGATGTAAGGAATATTGCTAGACTCTTATCTACCTCTCCCTTTCACCTTTGCTCATAAAAATAAGGACTAGTGTGTTGTCTCTAAGGCCAATAAACAGGAATAGTTGTCACTGGATTAAAATTTTTATTTGCAAATGGCAATTTATATGTCACAATATAATTTAATTTTCATACTTAAATGGAAAGTATGAAGTCAGTGCTATTTTTTCTGAATAGTAGATCAACAGGCTGGGGGGAAAACTCTATTACAATGAAACATATTGAAAAATGGGGAAAGGATAATAAATAAGATAAGGAAGACACATTTTCAGAGTTCTCAGTGAGGCAGTGCTTAATTTTTTTTTCAAAGTCAACATGGGGGATGGAATTAAAAGACTGGAATCCTATCTAGTAGGCATGGGCAAACTTTGGCCCTCCAGGTGTTTTGGACTTCAACTCCCACAATTCCTAATAGCCTCAAGCTTAAGCGGCTGAGGGGAAAAAGGAAAGGACCTGAGGCTGTTAGGAATTGTGGGAGTTGAAGTCCAAACACCTGGAGGGCCCAAGTTGGCCCATGCATGAGCTATCTTGACTTACTAATTTGCATATGGTTTCTGATTGGCCAGCTTCAACTTTCTAACATTCATAAGCAGCTGAGGGGAGAAAGGAAGTGGCCTGAGGCTGTTAGGAATTGTGGGAGTTGAAGTCCAAAACACCTGGAGGGCCGAAGTTTGCCCATGCTTGCTATATATGCTTACATAGAAATAAATCCAAGTGAATTTAACAGGACTTGCTCCACTAGAAATTGACTTAACAGGGCTCAAAGCAGTTTTTCCACCAGCAAGAGTATAGACACAATTTAATCTCCAGCAACCCACTTTTTCCACATCAGTATATTAAATCCAGTTTATGTGATCTGAAATCATTCTTTACACACACCAGGATAATGAGATCTGCGTAACGGGGCAAAGTGTAAATAGCCTGTGCATTCTTTTGAGATGCTTGCAACAACACATTGCTTCGTATGGAACAACTCGGCGAGAGTTGTTAAAAGTTAATTAATAAATCCTTAATTCGCAAATTAATTAACAGTTCTGCCTGATAGTTAAGATTTTCACAAATACCACAAGAGAATTTTCCTCCGCCACCTTAATCATAAATGCAGGGATTCCTAGATGTATTTAAAAAAATACTGTACTTAATAGAGCAAGTATTTTAAAAGACACATTTGGATTTGCTGTGTTTGTTCCCGAAAGCAGCAATAAAATAGAATGAAAGGTTTTGGGGTGGGTTTTTTCCTCTTTTTTGGTCTTATTTGAAGTGGCATTCAGATTCCCAGGCATCAACTGGTTTGAACAATATGAAGATAAATGCTGGCACCTCGCCCAAGGCTATGTTGTAGAAGAAGCTAGGTTAGCTCTCTGTGTGTGTGTGTGCCTTCAAGTCGCCTGTGGACTTATGGCGACAACATGAATTTCATAGGGTTTTCTCATGCAAGGAATACTCAGAGATGGTTCCCTCCTCTGAAATATAAGCCTCCAGCAGCTGACATTCATTGGTACTCTCTCCTCCTAGTACTAGCTTCATTCAAATGGGCATAGGATGGTCATTTGGCTGCAACCATTTTGAAAATGCTCTCCCATGCACAAATCATTCTATTTTCGACAAAAAGCTACTGAGTGTATTGAACCAAAAGGTAGCTTAGGTTCAACTAGCCTGCAGGTTCTGCATCATAATTAAATAGAGGAAGGGAATGATAAAGAATGAGTTACTGGCCTGTGTCTGCATTAAAAGATGGGCAATACATCCTATGCATATTCACCCAGAAGACTCAGTGTTCAATGGAGCTTGGAAAGAACAGCAATGCAGTGCTATTTGGATATGCTATTAAGAGCATGGGCTGCTAGAGGGATAACAAAGATGAGTAATGTAGTCATCTGCTACTACTTTTAGTAACATAGTAGTAGCAATGAATAATAAATACTACTACTACTACTACTACTACTACTAATAATAATAATAATAATAATAATAATAATAATAATAATCAGTTGAGGGTTGTAGTTTTGCAAGGTCATTAGCTTTCTCTGCCAAAGAGTGTTGGTGCATCTCCAAACTACATTTCCCATGATCCCATGGCATTGAGTGATGACAGCTAAAGCATAATTGCAATAATTCTACAGTGTGTAAAAGTAATGTAGTACAGTTACACTTCTCTGTGACAAAACCAATCCCACTCCCTTTAATGCAATTGCTTTGAATAAACACCTCTATGATTGGCCTATGAAGGTGGAATGTATAGTTGAACACCATGGGACTTTCTCCATCTGAGATGGGAGGTCATCTTACAGAAAAATAGAGCCAGGATACATACTAATCCTACAGTGTAGACCACACATGGGCAAACGAGGCCCTCCAGGTGTTTTGGACTTCAACTCCCACCATTCATGTCCTTTCCTTTCCCCCCTCAGCCACTTAAGTGGAAGGGGCCTGAGGATGTTAGGAATGGTGGGAGTTGAAGTCCAAAACACCTGGAGGGCCCCAAGTTTGCCCATGCGTGGTCTACACTGTAGGATTAGTGCAGCTTGATGGAGGTCACTTTAACTACTATGGCTCACTTAATACAAGTGGAGTCATGGGGTCAGGAGTTTGGTGAGGCACCAACACTCTTTGGCAGAGAAGGTGAAAGACCATGTAAAACTACAATTCTCGGGATTCCATACCACAGAGCCATGGCAGTTAAAGAGGTGCCCACTTGTATTAATTCTACAATGTAGATGTGCCCTTTCACAGCCAAGCCCACTTCCTTTAATGCTATTCTTTTGAACATACACCTGTTGGGCTGAAATTGACAGCTGAACCCAGTGGGACTTTCTTCATCTACGGTGGACATTAGAGCCCAATGTGTTGATGAAGGCTTTCATAACCAGAATTACTCGTTTACTGTGAGTTTTCCAGGCTGTATGGCCATGCTCCATAAGCATTCTCTCCTGACGTTAGGAATGAATCTTTGAAACTCCAAGGCTTTGAAGCTACACGTCCATTCAATCAAGGTGGTCAACTGAAACATTCACACTTGCCTCCAGCAGACAAGAGTTCTTTCTCCCACCCTGAATATTCCATACATATATAAACCCCACTTGCCTAGTTTCCAACAGACATCACAACCTCTCAGGATGCCTGCCATAGATGTGGGTGAAACATTAGGAGAGAATGCTTCTGGAACATGGCCATACAGCCCAGAAAACAACTTAGAATGGAGTCCCTTCTTCTGGAGAAGGATAGACCTGAGGGTTGGAAAAAGAACTCCCATCTGCTGGAGGCAAGTGTGAATGCTGCAATTAATCACCTCAATTAGCATTGCAAAGCCTTGCAGCCTCAAGGCCTGGCTGATTCCTGCCTGGGGGGATCCTTTGTTGGCAGGTGTTAGCTGGCCCTGATTGTTTCATGTCTGGAATGGCATTATTTGGCTCATACAGGACAAAAGCCAAAGTGTGTGGCTTGCTGTGAGTTTTGTGGGATGTATGCCTATGTTCCAGAAGCATTCTCTTCTGACGTTTCGCCCACTTCTTGGCAGGCATCCTCAGAGGTTGTGAGGTATGTTGGAAACTAAGCATACATTTGTGGAAGGTCCAGGGTGGGAGAAAGAACTCCTGGGTGCTGGAGACCAGTGTGAAGGCTATAATTAATCACCTCAGTTAGCATTGTAAAGCCTTGCAGCCTCAAGGCATCGCTAATTCCTGCCTGGGGGGAATCCACTGTTGGGAGATGTTAGCTGGCCCTGATTGTTACATGTCTGGAATGGCATTATTTGGCTCAAATGGGAAAAAAGGCCAAACTTGTGGGTTGCTGTGAGTTTTCCTGGCTGTATGGCCACATTCCAGAAGCATTCTCTCCTGACGTTTCACCCACTTCTATGGTAGACATCCCTAGAGGTTGTGAGGCATATTGGAAGCTAAGCATCTATGGAAGGTCCAGGGTAGGAGAAAGAACTTTTGGGTGCTGGAGGCCAGTGTGAAGGCTGCCTCAATTAGAATTGCAAAGTTTTGCAGCCTCTAGGCCTGGCTGATCCCTGCCTGGGGGGAATCCACTGTTGGGAGGTGTTTCATGTGTGGAATGGCATTATTTGGCTCAAATGAGACAAAAGCCAAGCATGTGGGTTGCTGTGAGTTTTCTGGGCTGTATGGCCATGTTCAGAAGCATTCTCTCCTGATATTTCACCTGCATCTCTGGCAAGCATCCTCAGAGGATGCCTCAACCATAGATGCAGATGAAAGGTGAGGAGATAATGCTTCTGGGACATGACAATACAGCCTGGAAAACTCAAAGCAACCTAGAACTTTGAGTCTTTTCTTCTGCAGGAAGATAGACGTGAGGCAGATGGGGAAGGGCCCTACATCAGGGAGACTCTCCAGGGCAAGGACCAGCCTTACCTCGCTGGACAAGATGCTTCCGTTGGAGATGATGTCGGGCTGCTGGTCAGCGTAGCCGGTGACGATGGCTCCGCAGGGGTTGTGCTCGGCGTCGGTGCTCCGGGAGGGGCTGCAGGGCTTGAGGAACATCAGGTCGGTCTTGGCCGACTCGGGCGTGAGGCAGACCTGGTAGCAGTAGTTCTGGTTGTGGTGGTGGGACCCGAAGCCGGCCGGCTCCTCGGCGGGGACGCCTTGGACCGGGTTGCTGGGCACGTTGGAGCTCTGCACCAGCATGATATCGGACTTGCTGAGCTTCTTCTTGCGGGCACGGGCCTGGCGGCTACAGCACGGGCAGCAGCAGCAGCAGGTGAGGCAGCAGTCGCTGGCCAGGCAGGTGTAGATGTTGAGCTTCTTCTCCTTCTGGCAGCGCACGGCCAGGACGATCATGGCCAGGAGGAAGATGAAGGAGACGGAGCCCAGGGCGATGATGAGGATGAGGGTGAGGTCCAGCGAGCTCTCGCCCGCCGAGGCGCCCCCGGCGCGGCTGGGCCGGTGCTCTCCGCCGGGGCCGGCTCCTCCCGCCCCGGAGCCCCCGGGTCCCGGCGCGGCCACCCCGCCTCCGCCCGCCCCGCCGGCCCCTTGCCGCTCCACCGCGCCGTCCACCAAGACCACGTGGAGCGCCGCGGTGGAGGAGAGCGGCGGCTGGCCGTGGTCGCGGACCTCGATGACCAGCTCGTAGGGGCGCTGCGGGTCGCGCTTGGCGGGCACTTTGCGGGCCGTGCGCAGCTCCCCGGTGCGCCAGTCCATGCGGAAGAGGCTGGCCTCGTTGCCGCGCGCGATGCTGTAGGTCAGGCGCGCGTTCTCGCCGTCGTCCGCGTCCACGGCGGCCACGCGGGTCACCAGGTAGCCCGGCTCGGCGCCGCGGGGCAGGACCTCCCTGGCCGGGGTGCCGTTGCGCCCGGGCAGCGGGCTGACGATGGCGGGGGCGTTGTCGTTCTGGTCCACCACCACGATGTGGACGGTGGCGTTGCCGGAGAGCGCGGCCTCCTCCTCCTCCTGCTGCTGCTGCTCATCCTCCGCCCCCGGCGGGCCTCCGTCCTCGCCCTCGGGCTGCCGTCCTCGCCGCCGCGGGGCGTCGCGGGCCTCCACCTGGAAGCTGAACTCCTTGAGCTGCTCGTAGTCGAAGGAGCGGAGCGCGTAGAGGAAGCCGTTCTCGGCGTTGATGGAGACGTAGGTGAAGACCGACATGCCCTGGATCTGGCTCTCGAGGATGGCGTAGGCCAGCTGCGCGTTGGCGCCCTGGTCGCGGTCGGCGGCGCTGACGGCGTAGATGTAGGCGCCGGGCACGTTGTTCTCGCTCACGTAGACCTGGTAGAGGGGCTGCGAGAAGCGGGGCGCGTTGTCGTTGACGTCGCTGACGCGCACCTGGATGGACTTGGAGGCGCTGAGCGAGGGGCGGCCCATGTCGCGCGCCACCACCGTCAGCGTGTAGGCCTCTCCGCCGGGCTGCTCGCGGTCCAGGGGCGCCTCCGTGACGATGGTGTAGTAGTTCTTGAAGGAGCTCTTGAGGCGGAACGGGGCGTCCCCTTGGAGGAGCTCGCACTGCACCTGCCCGTTCTCCTCCGAGTCGCGGTCCGAGACGCTGAAGAGCGCCACCACCGTGCCCGGCGCCGCCGCCTCGCTGACCGCCTCCTTGACGGTGGAGAAGCTGATCTCGGGCGCGTTGTCGTTGGCGTCCAGGACGCGGACCAACACCTTGCAGTGGGCCGGCACGGCGTTGGGGCCCAGGTCCTTGGCCTGCACGTACACCTGGTAGACGGCGCTCTCCTCGTAGTCCAGCTCGCCGTTGACCTCCAGCCGGCCCGTCCGCGGGGAGATGCCGAAGAGCTCGCGGGCGCGGGCCGAGATGTGGCTGCTGAAGGAGTAGATGATCTCGCCGTTCTGGCCCTCGTCCGGGTCGCTGGCGTTGAGCTGCAGGACCAGCGTGCCCGGCGGGGAGTTCTCCGGCAGCGCCACCGTGTAGACGGGCTGCTCGAAGGCCGGCACGTTGTCGTTGGAGTCGAGGACGCGGACGGTGAGCAGCGCGGTGCCGGTGCGCTGCGAGGGCTGCCCGCCGTCCACCGCCGTCAGCACGTAGCGGTGCAGGGCCTGCTGCTCGCGGTCCAGCGGCTTGGAGAGCACCAGCTCGGCGAAGCGGTTGCCGTCGGGCTGCGTCTGCACGTCGAGCGAGAAGAAGGCGTTGGGGGTGATCTCGTAGGTGCGGAGCGCGTTGGTGCCCACGTCCGGGTCGAAGGCGCTCTCCAGCGGGAAGCGCGTGCCCGGCGTGGCGCTCTCGGAGATCTCCACCGTCAGGTCGGGCTCCGGGAAGGCCGGCGGGTTGTCGTTGAGGTCCAGCACCTCCACCTCCACGCGGAAGAGCTCCAGCGGGTTCTCCAGGAAGACCTCCAGGTGGAGCTGGCAGGAGGGGCTCTGCCGGCAGATCTGCTCGCGGTCGATCTTCTCGCTCACGTACAGCACCCCGGTCTCCAGGTTGAGGTCCAGGTAAGGGCTGCGCGAGTTGGGCACCGTCTGGAAGCGCCGCGCGGAAAGTTTGGTGATGTCCAAGCCCAGGTCTTCGGCGATATTCCCCACGAAGGCGCCATGCTCCTGCTCCTCCTGCACGGTGTAGTGAAGCTGCGCCAGGGCCCCCGCCACCATCCAGATGAAGGCCAAGGGGAGGAATAGCACCACCATCTCCAAGCGGGGAAAGAGATCCCCCCTCCTTCCACCCCGAAGCCCCCCGCAGCCGCCCCCTCCTTCCCCCGCCTCCTTCCAGAAGCACCGTCTCGGAGGGGAGGGAGGGAGAGGGAGGGAGGGGTGGGCGAGAGAGAGAGAGAGCGGGCGAGAGAGCGGGCGAGAGAGCGGGCGAGCGGGGGGAAGATCGAGGGCTATTCCTTCTCCTTCATTTTCTCTTCTCTCCCTCGTCGCCTTCCTTTCGAAAAGAAAAGAAAATACACACAAACACACACAGAAGAGGAGGAAGAGGAGGAGGAGGAGGTTGGCGAGGGTCTAGAGAGCGGAGCAGTCAGCCCCGGCGGGTGAGGGAAAGCGCCAGGCAGAGCTCCCTCCTCACCGGCGATCTTCTTCCCAAGCAATGGCCAACTCTCTAGGCAAAGAGGTAGGTGGCTTAATTTATTCCCAGCGTCCTGGCACTGCACCGCGGCAGCTGGAGAGGAGGAGGAGGAAAAGGAAGAGGAAGCAGCAGCAGAAATCCCGGGGCAGGCAGTGGTCTCTTTCGAGATTGGCCTCGGTTTGGCTTTCTGGTCGGAGCAAGAGCTGGGAAAGGATGCCGGAATAGACCAATGGGCATATGCCCTCTCCGGATGGGGAAAAAAAAAGAGCACCTTTGAAAAAAGGGATGGAAAGATTAAAAATCAAATGCACCCAGCCACCGAATGTGACAGCCAATGGGAGCCGGGAGAGGCAGAGAACGACTGGGAAGCCCAAACTTTAATTTTCCTGCATTTGTCGGAGATTCCCTGAAATCTCCATCCTTGCTGTATCTTCTTTTCATGCCCGAGCACCCTCATTAATATTGTTCCCCTGGCTCGTGAAGGTCCATGTCGGTTTTCTTCCAGTCCTTCTCCTCTCTCTCTCTCTCTCTCTCTTGTCTCGCTTTCCAACACAATCCCTGCCTGACTGAGTCTCTTGCTTTGCTCGCTTCCTTGCCTGGCTCCTCTTCTCGTCCCAGCTCCGCTCCTGTGATCTCTGCTGGCAGTTTCTGAGCTCGGAGCGCTCGGCTTTTCTGTTTTTGCGCAGCGACCTGCTCCTGCCAACCAATCCGCTCCAAGGGACAGCCCCAGGGCGGCTGCCCATTGGATGCGCAGCACGTCCGGCAACTTGCGTCATGGAGATGGGAAAAGGGAGGGGGGAAGAGGAGGAGGGAAGGAGCGGAGCGCGGGAGAACCCGTTCTATCTCAGTGCGAGTTCGTGTGTGTGTCTGTGTGTGTGTGTTGCTGTGTCTCTGGCGGAGAGAATAACCCTGCCACTCCCGAAGCGCTTGCCGGGGAATCTCTGCCGAGGAGGGAAAGTTGCTATTCCCTTGTTGCCGTTCCTGAGAGAGGAGATCACCTCCCGTCATCAATGCAAACCGTGACGCTAATAAACAAACTGCTCCGGGGAGATGGAATTTCCACCTGGCGACGGCTTTCCCTTCCGTCTTTGCATCCTCCTTTTATTTTTACCCTTTCTCCAAAAGGGAGGCTATTTAGAGAAATCGTAAACAAGGGAAAACTTGAGGCAGATGCTCCTACTTGCGCCTGATTGTCCTTAGGCCTATAGAAAGATCAAAATGGACTGTTTTGTTTTCTTTCCCCTCTCTACGCAGGGCCTGGAGCTCAATGTTTTGGAGTGCTTGTCTCCTCCGTTACAAACGCTTGGCTCCGGAGTCGGTTTCCAACACTGAACAAACACCTGGGCAGAGAATGGAAAGAAAACAGGCTGGTAATGAAGATGGAAGGTTGTGTTCCAGACGACCACGAGACTTGTGGGGTTCTTTCCCCAGCTTTCCTGAATCACAGCCCGTCTCATCGGATGGAAAGCAGGATGCTGAGGTTCAAAGGATGAGTTTCAATGTGCTCAGCTCACACACGTTTTGGTGACATTCAGCAGCCAACTCTTGAATCACAAAGAGAGAGGAGGGAGCTATATTTTACCATAGTTCCCTTGGATGAGGGAAAAAATGGCATTATTTGGTTCAAACTGGGGAGGAGAAGGCCAGGCTTGTGGATAGATACCAATCTTTGCCTCCTTTCCCCATTCAAAGCACTGTCTACACCAAGCATGGGCAAACTTGGGCCTTCCAGCTGTTTTGGACTTCCACTATTCCTAACAGCCTCGGGCCACTTCCTTTCCCCCCTCAGCCGCATAAACTGAGTTGAAGTCCAAAACACCTGGAAGACCCAAGTTTGCCTATTCCTGGCATACATAATTTTTTTCCAAACACGTTTATTCAGAAATAAATGAATAGAAAACAAAGTGGTTGTGGGTAGGACACCTTTTTGGTGGGATAATGGCATTGGGTTGCTGTGAGTTTTCCGGGCTGCATGGCCATGTCCCAGAAGCATTCTCTCCTGACGTTTCACCTACATCTATGGCAGGCATCCGTAGAGGTTGTGAGGCATATTGGAAACTAAGCATACATCTGTGGAAGGTCCAGGGTGGAAGAAAGAACTACCGCCTAATCAAGGTGAAATTGATCACCTTGATTAGCATTGCAAAGCCTTGCAGCTTCAAGGCCTAGCTGGTTCCTGTCTGGGGGGATCCTGTGTTAGGAAGGTGTTGGGTAGCCCTGATTGTTTCATGTCTGGAATTTGGCTGAAACAAAAAAAAATGCCAAGTTTGTGGGTTGCTCTGAGTTTTCCAGCTGTATGGCCATGTTCCAGATACATTCTCTCCTTACGTTTCATCTGCATCTATAGAGCCCCCGGTAGCACAGTGGGTTAAACCCCTGTGCCGGCAGGTCGCAGGTTCAAATCCGGGGAGAGGCAGCTGAGCTCCTTCTATCAGCTCCAGCTCCTCATGCGGGGACATGAGAGAAGCCTCCCAGAAGGATGTTAAAACATCAAAACATCCAGGCGTCCCCTGGGCAACGTCCTTGCAGACTGCCAATTCTCTCACAACAGAAGTGACTTGCAGTTTCTCAAGTCGCTCCTGACACGACCAAAAAAATAAAAATAAAGATCTGCAACTATGGCAGGCATGCATCAACCTCTGAAGATGCCTGCCATAGATGTAGGCTAAACGTCAGGAGAGAATGCTTCTGGAAAATGGCCATACAGCCCGGAAAACTCACAGCAACCTTCCAGAAGCATTTTCTCCTGACGTTTCGCATGCATCTATGGTAGACATCCTCAGAGGTTGAGGCATCCTCTGAGGATGCCTGCCATAGATGCAGACAAAACGTCAAGAGAGAATGCTTCTGGAACATGACCATACAGCCTGGATAACTCACAGTAACCCTATGATTCCGGCTATGAAAGCTTTCCAGAAGCCAAGTTTGTACCTTGCATTTTTTCCATTCAAAACACTGCCTGAGTAGCTCTTCTCCAAACACGTTTAGTCAGAAGTGAATGAGTAGAAAGCCGTCGTGGTGAGGTGGTTGGAGTGTTGAACCACGACTCCAGATACCAGGGTTTGGGAACCACCTCGGCCATGAAACCCACTGGGTGGCCTTGAGTGAGTCACACACTCTTAGTAAGTCAGGAAAGACTTGAAGGCTCACAAGAACAGCAATATATATATATATACCAGGCTTCCACTCCCAGATGGTTTGTGTTTTCATCCCTAGGGAGGGGAGGGGAAGGAGAAGTCAGGGGACCAGTTCGGCTGGTGAAAGCCTGCTTTCGAAACCCACCCTCGGATAGCTTCGCCTCCCTCTCTTCCTCCCTCTTTCCCTCCCTCCGGTGACTCCAAGCGCCGGTCTTCTGAGGAAAGGCGCTATGGCAACTGAAGGGAGGCGCTCCCTGGGCGAAGGCGCGACTTCAGATGTATTCCTTCCTCAAGTTGCTGGAGAAGCGAGACACCTGAGGACAGAAGGCTCCCTTTCCTCTGATAATGTGCGAAGGGAATGCATCCTTTCGGGTCCCCAAATCCCCCATCGCGGGTCATAATCGAGGAGGGTGATGTCCCCGAGAAGAGCACCGTCTGATATTCAAAGTTTGGGCGGGGGCGGGGGGGGGGAGTCTCTACTGCAGCTCCGCATTCAGATCCTCCCCAAGGCGTGGCGCAGTGCGATCCTCTGCCTGCTGATTCAATAAGCACACTCTGTGGGAGGGGGTGTCAGGGGGCTCCCTGGGATCCTTTCCAAACCAGCGCCAAGAGGGCGATGCTGAGCGGGTCTCCTCCTCCGGAGGTCAAACGTGCCTAGCATGGCAACCCGGGCACGGTTTTACTTGGCACTGGAGAACCAGCGGGACGTGAGGAGCGGTCACTCCCGAGCTCAAGTGCTCCTTACACAACCATTCCATCTCTGGGCACAGGCGGGGAGGCAAGGTGTCCGTGCACACTGATAGGCGAGCTCCGGCGCCATCCTTTACGAGTCTACTCAGAAGCAAACCCCATGTAGGATGCATGGCAACCTTGCCTCTCAGGCGCCCAACTCGCCAAGGCTGAGGACGGCTCTCTCTCCCTTATTTTCCCCCTTTCCCTATTGATTCATTCAGCGCCGATCGCTTAAACCTCTTCACTCAAGCGCAGCGCTCCTGTTGGAATCGCTAGTCTTTCCTTGGAGCGTCGCTTAAATAAATAATCTCAATCCCTTTATTGTCTTGCCTCGAATCCCATTCATTTATTTTTCCTGGGCTTTCCATTATTCGCCCACTTTCGCCGCCCAGCGTACACCAAGGTTCCCGCAGAGGCTATTGATGTGGGGAATTCACCAGGAGTGTGTGCAATAAAATAAAAATTGGGGAGGGGGGACAACGCTTAGTACAGCAGAGCCTCCGCAAACATCCCTATTTAGGCTCCCTTTCCTCGCCAGGCGGGGGAGAGAATGTGCTTCTTTGAGCCCCGCTGCCTGCCTGCTTCTCAATCTCTCTCCCTCAGCCTCTGTTCTTGCCCTCCCCAGTGCCTTCTTCGCCTCAGAGCCCCCTAAAACGAGCCTGGGCATCCCTATTTAGGCTCCCTCCCTTGTCAGGCGGAGGAGAGAATATGCTTCTTTGAGCCCCACTGCCTGTTTGATTTGCAATCTATCTCTCTCTCAGGCTCTTTCTTTGCCCTCCCCAGTCTCTACTTCGCCTCAGAGCAGC